GACCTGTAGATCTAAAAGCAGTTCGCAAACTGTGTGTCTTTCAAAAGTGTGTTTTACTATTCTTTTCATATCCCCGCTTCAATTTAGCAGTGCAATTTATATGCGCTTTGTAGCGTTTGGTCGTTCAAAAGCACCTCGCCGCAACCGTTTATTCATGAAGAGTGCCTCTGTTAAAAGCCGTTTTTTCTACTGAAGAAGAGTCGTTGATGACGGCGTTCATAGTTAATGAGCAGCCAGTATCCGGCGGCTGTTACCCTGCAAATTGCCCGTTCTTTACAAACTCACCGTTTGCCAACTCGGTGGGAGCCGGTCTTGCGTGAAAGACGTTTTCGTTTCCGACCGTGCGTTATTGTTTACCGCTGGAATGACTTTCTTTTGCTAGTAAACCTAACAAACACAGAGTTTGCAAGTTGTTGCAGCTGCACAAAGATATCTTATGTATAATGCCACGAATAAAATTTAGTGTTCAATGTAAAACCCCTCGTGTTTGTAGCCCTTTTTTGTGCGGTCGAATTGGCTCTGACTTTGATTAAGTCACTTTTCTCCATGTTATGATTTTTAATGGACGTTTACTAGTTTAGCATCGAGTACGCCTAATAAGTGTCCAAATATTCACAGAATTTTTCGAAGGACATAGTTTGCATTCTAACCTATTTTTCATGACGGTAATAACCACTAGCAACTCGGGAAAAATATAAATACAATTCTCGCTGAGCCTTTGCCAAGTCTGCGGATCTAACGAACATATATTAGTTTTTCTTTTTAAATAAATACAGAAACGAGCGTCTTTTATACAGCTTCTAAGACCTGTTCATTGCATGTAACTGTTATCATAGTAGTAAGTGGGCCACCTCCCTGCAATCGGAAGTTGCTCAGTCGAGTTTTAAGCATTTTTATTTATTTCTGTTGCAAGTGTGTGTTATATAATTCACTTGAATATAATATTACGATTACTTATCGAAAAATCATATATTTATTGATTACAAGAAGAGTGTTGTATTTCTGTTACCGAATAGTGTCATAAAATTTCTATAGGGAGAGCAACTATACCTCGGCACAGGTTACCATTAAGCGATTAACTTTATATATTTATGATAATTCAAACAAACAATATCTTTCTATTGTGTTTTTTGTTTTTAAAACAAACATAACATCGAGTCAACAATTTAGTCAAAAGATATAAATTATTGCTTCAAATACCTCCGTGCATTAAAGGCGTTTCATACACGGTCCAGTATGATAAATGACTTTTAATTTATTCATAATGAAACGTACACCCATGCGCATTAGGGTTATTGTTACGTACTATATAGTGGTCATTTATTTTACAGAAACAATAAATTAAACGATTACACAAATACCGCTAAGTTTAGTGTACCTAAGCAAGACTAGTATCTTCGAGGGCAGTACCTTGTAACGATTTAAAAAAACTTAGTTTATTAACAAACTACGCATAATAATTGCTCAATTTAGTACATATTTGATTCTAAATATATAACCAAGTTTATGAGTAGCCTCAACTATTTACATATAAAGTTTCACCTGAATAATCTCTGTTCAAAGCACTCTTATACTTTTCTCTATGTTTACGGGAATTAACGAGATCACAATAGGTATTAAGTACATACCTTTGAAATACCTGACGTTTCGACCAGGTTGCACAGGCCGCGGTCACAGGGTGATAGAGGCCCAAGTGTGAGTTTATTATACCTTTACTTGACCGTCACAGTGGCCGCGTTCGGCGGTGCGATTGTGAGAATGAGTTGATGTGAAATAAACTCGCACCTGGCCCGAAGAAGATCGCATACTTTCGTCTTGAATGTAAGGCGGTTTATGGACATCCTGATTTTGGCAGGGAGCGCATTCCTAGAAACCTAAAGCAGATACATGGTCATACTTGCGAAGATTGAAAACGAATCGAATGCAGTTATTGATAAGGCAATCTAATTTATTGAGATGGTCTACAATCAGGTCAAAATAACACACATCACCATAGTTGATTAAGGAAATAATTAAGGACTGCTTAAGCGTGGCCTTAGTTTTAGCAGGAAGAAGCAGTAGGTAGTAGTATAAATCATAAGCGTACAGGTGATACATACACTGAAGGGATTAATGAATATTGAGAGTAATAAGGGAGATAATATACCGCCTTGAGGAACGCCATTGAGAAGATCACACCAACTTGATGACAAGTCATCAATATTAATACACTGTTGTCGTCCCTGGAGATAGGAGGATTGCCATTCCAGAGCTTCTGAGAAGATCCTAAGATAGGAAAGGATCGCCAGTAAGACGAGTGGAATTAAAAATATTCGAGAAATCAGTGAAAGCCAGTACTTTGACTTTGGTGTCCTCTAAACCCTCCCTAATATCGGCAGTTACTTTGAGGAGAGCGATGGTTGTACTGTGACCGGGTCTGAACCCAGATTGTAACGGCCTAAGAAGATTCAGCTGATATACAAACTGTGAGAGCTGCTTATGTACACAGGACTTTAGCACTTTAGAAAGAAAGGGAAGTATAGAAATTAGTCGACAGAGTTCAGGGAGAGAGGGGATTAGTTTTTTTGCGTAAAGAGATGATGAAGGCCTTAAGCCAGAGTGAGGGAAAGGTTAAAGGCCAGAGTTAAGTTAAAAGTTCATAATATGGGATATTGATGGAAGAACTGGATCCAGGATAGTAATAATAATGCAGCGGCACCAGCATTGGAAAGAATCGAATCTTCGATAAAAAGATATGTTATTAATTTTAATGTGCATTAATCTTTGTCTATTAACAAATCACAATCACATGCGAAATCGCTGTGACTAAAACCAATCATTTCATTAAATGAATATAATTTAAAAGTAGCAATAATTTCTATGTCTACTCGGTAGTACAGGAATATGGTCAGTTGAATACGTAGTCTGTCTACGTAGACTATGTAGTAGCAGTTGAATATGGTCTGTTGACTACGTAGTCAACTGACCATATTGCCGCGTTTTCGTGGCCTATTTTTACTTCATCATTATCATCATCAGCCTATCGCAATCCACTGCTGGACATAGGCCTCTCCCATTGCACGGCACTTAGATCGATTTTGGGCTTCTGGAATCCAGCTCTATTTTTACTTACATTAAAATATTTCTCTATCTATATATATAAGAGATTTCCACGTATATAGTCACTCATCACGATATCTCTGGAACCATTAGAGCTAAAGACTTGAAATTTGGTAGGAATATTCTTTTCACCGAGTAGAGGTCAGCTAAGAACGGATTTTAAGAAATAAAAAAATAAATAAAAAAAATGTAAATAGCAAAACAACGTTTGCAGGGTCAGCTAGTCTATAATATTTCTCTACCTTTTATTACCTTACCTATCTTGCGTTGTGAGTTCACACTATAGTATATGAGCTCAACTCTAAGGTCAGACTTGCTCGATTAGTCATTTGTAAGGTAATAGTATTGAATCATACTGCAAGATTTTAAATCAAAGCATTAATGAAAACTAATTTCTTTTTTAAATCATACTAAAATAAAACAAATAAACCCAAAAGTCGATGGTCTTCAGTTAAGTAGTTCTTATGGCCGTCTTCAGGCTCCATCAACAGAAGCTCCATGGTACCATATGTTATATTGTCATTGAAGATATCTATGTATACCAAATTTAAGCCTAATCGAATATCATAAAGTGGTACTAATTTAGTTTCCAAGATTCGTGCCGAACACATACATAGATACAAGCATTGTAAGTTAACTTAAAGCTTGACTATAAAACAAATCAAGCTTTAATCTCAAAATAAACAAAAATAAAGTGAGGACGCCTTTTTTTCTTGAAAAACACAGTTTCATTATCTGTCAGTACAATTACCAATTATTTCTCACCTGGCATGTTCGAACTTCCTGTCATATTGTAACATTTAGACAATTACGGATGTAAAATTTGTCATACACAATAGAAATTTGCTAATTGTTCCACATGTAAATGTTTTATGGCTTCAGGATATCTAATTTGACATAAAAAATAATCATACAAATTCACAAAACAATTTCAAACCTAACAATAAAGATAAGATCCTTCAATTTTTTTATAAGGCATTCTCACAATAGGATAATATCTCTTTGTCTTAGTGGTTTCAGAAACACAATTTGCAGACACAAACACGCAAAACCACCATTACAGTATCACATAGATGATTATTCTATGAAGGGATCGAGCTCACGATGTCAAGCTAAGCGCCACTGCCCTGTAGATAATAGAAGCTTATTAGTATAATATAGCTGATAAACGATACTGACATACATAAAAACTAATGGTCTTCAAGAGGTTGAAGAGATTATTAGCAAAGCGAGTTGAGAGCTATCTAAATAGTCAAGCTCAAAATAGAGAAAGTCACTGTTGCCGCCAAAATAATTTTGGTTTACTTGTTCAGTTTAGCGCGAAATGTATTTCTTATAAAAATTGTGAATAATTATGACTTGTGGCTGCTTTATATATATTTATATAGTAAGGAAAGTATTAATCAAAATTACTCGTAGTATCTACTACATGTGATATCCACAGTTCAATAATTACAAGTAAAGTTTAATTATTTCGATACTTGAAAAGTCTTACATGGTTTCCCATAATTTTTTATGATCATTATCGTACGAACATACATTGAAGTGCGTCCGGTTTAAGAGCGCCATACGTCCGGCGTGCACGTTCCGTGTTGAATAATTCTTGATTGCTTATTTTCAAACTGCATCGATTGTGAGTCGGCATACCGGCCGCATATTTCGACGTCCAGTGATTAATGTATTTTCTATTATGGCAATTGAAGGTAGAGCGCATGCGACGAATTGTATTATTAGAGGACCGTTTGACGAGATCATACTGGTTCGTCAGTCACACGAGTAAAGTGTCTGTTGTGCTTTTAATATCAACTTGTGTTCACTCTACTGATGCTCTTTCATTCCGCTTCATGTGCTACGAATGTTCAACGAGATTTTGTACTACAGTGTTATAGTTTACTAACAACATGACCGCTAATAGTTACGATGTCGGTAAGTTTATTTTCTATTCTCATGTAGTAAAGGTACTTTTTAAATATTAAGAAATTAAATTTTTAAAGATGTGAAACAAAAATATGTAGACAATTTATTTATTTGGACCCCGTGTACATAAATAAATGGAAAAGAAAATAAAATGTTCGTAAATGAGCGCATCAAATTTGAAACCGGCTACATTGCTTTACTTTATACTGAAGTGTTTGTAATAAATTTGATAATAGATTTTACAAAAAAAAGGGTTTTGCAGAAAGTAAAATATTAAATTACACACGTAAGTTGAAAATAATGTATTTTTTTAATTTCAACACTTTATTATCGTTCATAAACGTTTAATAGCCTTAATAAAATATCAGGATATCTTTTAATTAAAGGAAAAATTTATTGCCATACTAGAAGGGATAACTTTAACAACTCAATAATCATAAATTGAGTTAATTTATTGTTTAAGTGCATATTATTACCAAACATCTCTTTAACACAGATTCTTTCTACAGTCTTATTTTCTACTTAACTAACACCAGATGTAGAAGTGAAACGTATTAATTTATCGTCAATAGTAGTATGGAATGATAGTATCAGCTGCAATACAATATCGTACCGAATAGTAAACATGTCTTAGCTGACGTAGACGTATAATGCGTGTGTCTGGTATTGTGCCAAATGTAGCCCAGACTTTCCGTGTGATTATGTGACCCTGATACGAACGAGTGACGCAGTCACCATAACTGTTACATATTCAATCCAGAAATATATAAGTTCTTCTCCTGTAATACGGAGTGTCGGACGGATGTGTGGTGACGGATTAAGAATTCAGAGTGTCACCACCCCTATTCATCCCGTGGGTGTCGTAAGAGGTGACTAAGGAAGCAAACTACGCAGGACAACAGCACTGCAGAGAGAAGGAAAACTTGAAACAAACCCTATACAGTACTATAGTAGGACAAAACCTCCTTCCTAAGGAGAGGCCTATGTCCAACAGTGGACTAGTAAAGGCTGTTGATGAATACGGAGTGTCATCACCCCCTTTCATCCTGTGGATATTGTAAGAGAAGAAGGAAAACTTGAAGCAAACCCTATATAACCCTGCTAGCGTGGTTTATTGACCTCCTGTTTAAGGCCTTTGAACAGCAGTAGACTACTAAAGGCTGTTGATGATGATACTTAAAAAGTTTTTTAAATATTAATTTTGCAAGCATGGCAGATTTAACAGCACACCTATTGTTCACATAACAGATGTTATTGTGTTTGAAGAATATTTTACTTAAAACAAATGTCAACAATGGCTACATCTAGCTATACAAATTTCAAAACGAACATTTCATGTAAAATATAAAATATAATTATAATTACATAACACGTTGAATGCAAAATTCTAATAACTGAATAACTATTTGAGAGAGGTTTTAAGTGTGTTCTTCATAAAATTGCACAAATAATGAGTGTTTACCCCCATTGAACTACACACCATGGTCTAGTAAATTGGTCACTGAATATGGCATAATTTTGAAGACATGAAAGCGATATGATGGAGGATTATTATTTCTAAATCTGCTAGACCACAAATATAACCTGTCCACAACACAAAATTTTTCTTACTTCTAAAAATATAATATTTTGACCTTACATTTACTATTTTGAAACAATTTTTGCTAAAAGTAGCTAGAATTGACATGTAATCAGTCCAACACTACGCAAAGCGATACAAATCTAAGTCCACATTCCTGCACAAAAATGTCTTTTCAAGGGTCTTAAAATATGTAATCTATTGTCACAAGATATAAAAGATTCAAATGACGTGTAAAAATACCTAAATAACATTGGTATATAATGTAAAAAAACCTTCGTGATTGAAATTTTCTATTCTAATTTATTAAGTTTTGAACATTTATGATGTAGATCTTTTACTATTATTAACTACTACTAATTACTATTGTCAATGAATGACAAAGAGTACCTTTTCTTTGATACTTTATTGAGTGACACTTTAATAGTTATAACCCTTCGTAGTATTTCATTTACACTATTAATTTTATTGTTCTACATTGACTTTGTGATATCCTCATGTAACTACACTATATATTGATGATTTTTTTTTAATAGTACTCAGGCTATTGAAATTACAAGGATCTCATAACGAAAGCTACTTAGCTCGATCGTCAGCTGTTCTCATTTGATGTTATAATTATTTATGTTATGAGGCCTTCATGTACCAAAATGTTCTGTATAAGAATTAGTTTGATTTCATTTACAAAGTTCAAAATAAAAGATAAATAGAGGTACATTATTCTGAATATGTCAATAATAACTTGTAGAGTGGTAGTACTTTATTTGGGTTAGATTCTTTATTTGGTTATATATTCAAGTTTTAAGAATTACCACCAACAAAATATTCAAGCGTTCATACTATTCGTTATAACATTCAGCGTTTATGGCTGCACATTACTTTTACTGAATCATACAATCATAGATGTAAAAAGCTAGCTAGCAAACTATCAGCCAGTTTTTCTAACAACTAACTATTAATTTAATTATGCAACTTTTTTATAGTTTGTAATTTTGTGAGTTTTGATGTGGATGTAAATTTCTGCTTTGTTATTCTGGTTTTCAGAATACTTCACTAATAGACATTTACGTACATCATCCTTTAGATACCCAGTTTTTTATTTTATTATATGTCGAACTTTCAGTTCAAAGTCAGGATAAATTTAATTCAAATCTGAATTAGAATAAACACTTGCGGTACTCTGTGAGTGCTCTACATACAGTGAGTTAGAAAAGTATCTTCATTGCTATACCTACTTGTTACATACATTATAAAAATAAATCTAATAACGATTTTTATAAATTATAGGAAAGTGTAAAGTGATGAGGTCATGTTCAAGTTTAAAAATATAAAAAAATAGAAAATCATTTAAAGAAATAAAGTAAATGAATTTGTATTTAAAAATTTCAGTTATATTATAACTTTCTTATTCAGCCACTTTCTCATTCTGGTTTGTGTGTTAAAAGTGTTAGGTTTTAAGAATATTTTACCTTACTTCATAAAAACCCTACAATAAAACAGAATTTATCCTTATTCTCGATTCTAAACTCTAAAATATTCGTATAATTCACAATACAATTTTTACTAATTAGTCGTTTTTACCTAAAAATAAAGTAACAAATAAAAAATAACTGGTTCTTGTTAATGAATAAACGAATTACACAGTCAACGGACGTTTTAAAACAAACTTTGAAAGACATTTTCTCTTTTTGAGCGATTGCTTAGAAATTAAGTATTTGGGGAATAACACATTAGGGCTTAAAATTAATGTAATATAACCTGATATTGAAGTTAAGTAGAAGATATTACAATATTTTTTGACCCAAAATGTAACATAACTAAAAACTAAGATCAAAATTATTAGAGCAATAGTTCGAAAACAAGAGACTCAAAAGGTAACTTTAAGCGCAGTACCTGTATCATATGAGCTAACAACTAAGAAGCAATATGTAATTATAGGTTATGGTCATCAATTTACCAATGATAATAATACAGATAAAGATGTAATGAAAAACATCGAAAGTATGTGCTTGCCTGAAAAAAAATAACATAATATATACACTAAACTGAAGTTCAAATGAACAATATCTGTGATTTTAATGCTACTTTTATACATCTGACGTTGATGTAAAATTGCCGTAACTTGTACCGAATTAGTATTAATCATCATTTTAGGGCAAGTGCACCTGCCCGTCGGCGCTTTTTACCCACCTGACCTTGATTAACAACATGAATTAACATGAAACAAAAATATATCACACGAAAGTGAATCAGTTACAATTTTAAAACATGAAGTACTTCACACACATTCAAAACACTTCTGCTATAGGCCAAGACAAAATGCATAATGCTGTTAATTTTAAAATGACACTGATGTGTAAATGTTTTTTTTGGTAATATAACTCTTATTTTTATATAGTAATAGTATATTATATAGTAATAGCTTCAAAGATAAATCATCATCATTTGATACTAAGAATGGAACAGGTCAATTATACAAGTATATTAGGACAATTCTATTAATGAAACTTACCTTGGAAAAACCTATGTAAATAGACAATAGCCATTCAAAGAGATACTTTAATCAGCATCGTGCTATTTCTTTAATGTTCACAGCGTCATATTCGGGTAATCATAATGCGTATACATATTTTTCGTTAAAGCCGTGTTCATTTTAGTATCGAATGTGTGAGTTTATAACAATCAAATGTAAAATTCCATATTTTGATAATATATTTTTACCTGGTATTACCTATATATTTACCTTTCTGGTGTTACATTCAAAACTAAATAAGTAAGAAGTTCATGACCATCGGCTTTAACAAAGGCGATCTCAATGTACTATAATTCAAACTTTTTAAAATCTGAACTGCAGACTATAAATAGTGTGAATTATAGAATTTTAAGTAGAATAAAGTTTGCTGTCATGTCATTAGTGTCATTCAACTTAATAAAATTCTTCTACACGTAAACAATAGACCTGCTCAGTTCACGTAAAATTCTTGTTAACATTAAGTTGAAGCTATGAAACAGTAATACATTTACATAAATAGAAATAAATCAGATTTAATTAATTAGACATTTGAGGTGGTCGCCTTGACATACTCGTAAGCTTCTAACAACTACGCCAGATCACTCGATCGAAGTTTTGTTTTCTTTTAAAGAGTTATCGCTAATATAACGGTCTGTATTCTGAGGAATTACCTAGTTTACTACGTCACTTGATTCATACAATTGGCACCGTTGATCGCAGTACACTCTAGTAGAAACTGAGTGCTATGGAAGATCAAATATAAGATCATCTCTCGGTCAAGGCTTTTTCAGTAGTTTCTATATGGCATTGCTTAAAATGTGACTAAAATGATTGAACAAGGTCGATAAATTTTACTTGAATTGGCCTGTTTTGCTAAGTTCCTATCCACGACGACGACTCGTAGAGTACTCTGACGAGTGGTAGATCCAACATAGTAGTAGTGACCAAACATCAATAAATAGATATCGCTTACATATTGATTCGACGATTTATATCAACTAATATCTCTTGTCATATCTCGTATTAAATTTAATCCGCCTCGTGTATGTTTGCCAAAATATACTAACAAAAAGTAGTAATTTTCGAAATAAATCATCTTTATGTTCCAGTTTATGACAGTATCATTACTCTAATGTTAATTAACGAGTGTCGTGTAGACTATATGGCTAAGTAATACAGAAAGTAACCACTCACGTAGGAGTGAGGGAGTGGTTATTTCTGGAATACATACTTTTCAACGTCTAATTTAATTGATGCAAAATGTTTAGTCAGCAGCTCAAAAAGGAAACTATGAAAATAATCTTGGAAAACACAACCCAGACTAGTCACAGTCAATACTATAATTTGTTTATGTAACCTACAGTAGAATACAATATCATTCTTACTAAGCAATAAGATAAATATAAGGCCTTTGAAACCTAAAATCATTTTTTTTTTAAACCTCAGAAATCAGGAATTTCCAAATTTTGTATTGAATAAAGTTCCTATTATTAAAATAAGTAAAAGTACTCAAAAGTGGCGGACTTAAGCCAAATAAAACCCTACGCTGTACCACACAGCACCTAAAGTCTGCGAAACGACAGTTTGTTTTCAACAGTCTACCCAACTACGCTGGCCCGCGAGGCAATAAATGGTTTTACTATCTGGGCAATATCCAGAAACTCAAGGATTCAATTTAATAATATTTTCATAGTTCGACGATTCCTCACTACACAAACACCCACAGTAATTACTAACGAACCAACCCACTTGGCGTGTAGCAGCTAAAATATAAATTATATAATAATAATATTTTTGACATCTGACAAAACACCATTTAGTTTCAAACTAAGCAGAGCTTGTACTATGAAAGACTAGATTGACTGATAGAAAACTTATAATTTTTTTTTTGTAAATACATACATATCATACATATGTAGAAAACACCCAAACTCCGAAACAAATATTTGCAGATCATACAAACATTTGGTCAAATAAAAAAATTAAAAATAAAATATGAAAGACAATATTTTTCATTTGTTACAGCAATTTTGAAATTATCCTGCTGGGACGTGTTTTTAACTCGATCCAATTATGATTCGGATTATCGTCGATTGGATCGTAATGGATTGTGTCGCGTTGATTTATTACATTTATTTAAAACAAAATGCTAATAAACAAAATACAAAAGCAACTAAAAGTTCAGTAACCTAAAGAAAAAAACAACTTAACCACAAACTTAACGTGTCTATGACGTATTTTAAAGGTGTTAATTTTATATTCTTCGAAATTTGAGATACAATAGTTCTAGTAATCTAGACTATTTCAACTCTAAACTAAAGAAGTTGAAGAATGTTTAAACTACTTTTCATCATCATCATCTACGGTTTTGTAAAGGTTCTGATATAAGCTCTAAAACGAGTCCTAGTATTTTTTCATATGCTGCTGTAATCTGCACCTGTAATCTGTAACTGTTGGTTATATATTCACGACAGTTAAAATCAGTTTACAATTGCTACCGTTCCTTTTTTAATAAAAGACCACAAACTTCATTTGAAGGCGTTTATAGAAAATAGATTAAATATCAGCACAACGAAACAATGACTGAGAAAATGAAATATTCATGGTTATGTACCTACTTATATTCATATTTTTTTATCCTTTACATATCATATTATTATTCAAAAAATATTTTTTATTTCAGGAAACACCTTTATTTGGATAAACTTTAAATGCAAAACCTTATCTAAATAAAAAGCTTGATCTAAGTCGTTAGAGTCGTTTACGAAATACACGATATATTTCTATGAGGATTGTACGTTTCAAGCCATTAAATAGAACCCAAGAGGTTTTTAGTTCATAACACATTAACTTGGTTATTTAACTTTTCAGATAAAAATGAGAACAGGCCGAACAATGTGACAACATTTGAATTAGGATCCTCCAAAACGTGAGTAAGTACATGTGTATGTGTATTTAGTTACGTAAACTACTAAACTAAACATGTATACAGTTATTTATGTCTGAGGCATGTCAACATAACTTCATTAATTACAGACAACACAATGTGAAAGAAGAAACGATAACAGTGGTGGGAAAGTTATTGCAAGTACTGCCATCCGTTTACGAATTGAGACAATATGCCGGCGTCTTTCTTTGCGGTGAGTATTGTCTAATTACACAATCGTCAAAACAATATGAAGTTCAACAATAGCATACACAATTTGTATGTATTTAATTGATAATTGTAGTCCAGAAGCATGAAAAACAAAAAAACATCTCTTATTTTAATAGGCTATAATATAATAGTGTTAAAAAAAAGTTTGTACTTTTTTCCGTTAAAAAAGTAACAACTAATTAACTGCAAGACAAAGAAATGAAACATTAAGATGATTGATGACAATTTTGATAAAGTTTAAAAACAACGAAACCACGTTGTAACAAGGGCAAGTCTAAAGTAATGAAATTACACAATACCGATATGACTGACATTAAGGCAATCAATACTTAGAAAATACACTCGTCATGACCTATACCAGAGCCTACAAATGTAATAGAGCTAGCTTGGCGCACGTATATAGACTACGCACACGTCAAACTAAATAGCTTGTACCTTACTAGGACTTTGTTTGGCTTCTTAAAACCAAACAAATGGCATTACTTTTCTTTTGGAAGTTTTTATATGTATTATATATACCTATATTTATATTTATATATATATGAATAGGTATTTATACTGCAACCTTTAGCTATTTATATTTATAAAGAACTGAATGTTGCAGTCCTGCATAGAATTGCCAACAGTTCTTTAGAATTTATGTTTTCACTTTGTTTCCATTTAATGGCTATGGTCAAAATTATAACTTTTATTTATTCGCAAGCAGTTCTAATACTAGTTCTCATTACTGCCTGAATACCTAGTAATAGTAATAACAATAATATCTTGAGACGCCTCACACAACTCACAAGTCAAACATTTTTGTTTTAATCAACGTAATTGAAGTATTTTTATGGAGTTGGCCACGTGAAATTCTTGTAGTAATTGGATCCACCTCAAAGGTAGCATCTATGGACACATAGAAAAAATAAATTTCAGGTATTACCCACCGGTATATGGGTTTGGCAAGACGCTTGGAATATATACTCAACAGGTACTTGGTTTACAATAACACATAAAGGATATACTATGAACTTGATTATTATTATATAGACGAGTCAATTTGAAACAAATAATATTAGACAATTACTGTACAGTAGCTGCAATCATCACGACATACTTATGTAAAATGGGAATAGCCTCACTTGATCTTAACTAAATTACAGAATTAAAAAAATGACATCTTTGACTGCAATTATATATCACATCACATCAAATCACATCAACAGCCTTTAATAGTCAACTGCTGGACATAAGCCTCTCCTTAGTAAGGAGGTTTTGGCCTACTATACCATGCTGGCAAGAGGGGTTGGTATAGGGTTTGTGTTAAGTTTTCCTTCTCTCTGCAGTGCTGTTGTTCTGCGTAGTTTTCTCCCTTAGTCGGCTCATACGACACCCACGGGATAAATAGGGGTGGTGACACTCTGTATTCTTAATCCGTCACCACACGGACAATTATTAATATGTGCGTCTAAAATAACGAAAATTACGAATTCGAAAACGAAGTTACGTAAGCACTTTAATTCCGAATGGAAATATTTATCATGGAAAATAAAGTATAACGGTTAGTAATTCCTTGTTATTATTAAGATACCCAAAAACTGTATCTACTAATGTAATACTTAACTCTTTCAATTAAGTCTTCTGTTTACATACGTTCCTTGAGCGGCAGCAGTACCGAGCTACACGATCAAGTAGATAAGGTTTGATACATCCCTCGGGGCGGGTCAAAACTTAGAGCTAAGAGTGAAGTATGCAAGTTTAAATGTTAGTTCCATCGTTCATGAGTGGAAGAGCGAAAGAAAAGGCTGATATCTTAAGAGAAAAAAGATAAGTGTGGTATGCTTGTATGAAACAAAATAGAATGGCATGAAAGCTAAAGGCAATGGAGAGGATTACAAGTGTTATTATTGCAGGGTTGACGGTAAGAGAATTGGAGCGGGCCTCTTACTAATTTCGTGGAGAATGTTGGCTTGAAAATTTTAATCACTGTGGAAAGTAACGTCGAAACACCACAGAGGTGTCTTTTTTTAAATCCGTGAACAATGTTAGATAAACAAAACTATGCGAATACTGATAGGGTGTGGGTTGGCCTTTTGAAAAAAGGACCATAGTTTTGAGTAGGCCTGTCTATACAGACGGCATACGGGCCTCCGCCATCGTGTAGCTTAACCGATATTAGTCAAGATCGACGATCCGAAGCGCAACACTACCAACACTGCCACCAGGACATTTGGGTAGGACATGGAAACATTCAAAACCATCAGAAAGGTGATAAATATAAATTAACATTAGAAGTCCATACTATAATCACATTGACTACAAAATATATACTATACGATTCAAGTTCACAAAAAAAACAAATTAAAACAAAAGAAATACGGAATAAGACAATAAAGTAAATGTCCTTCACTTTCAATTATAACAATAATGATAAGAACGTAAATTCTAGATTGAGCAGCATTAATCCGAAGTAGATTTGTCATCTAAATAATCTGTTGCCGTGTAGTAAGCCTTTTCATATAGTTTTTGTTTTACTAAGAACTTAAATTTATTAGTACTTAATTCATGAAATTTGCTTGGAATTTAATTGTAGAATTACACACCCAAAAAGTAGTGACTGACGTCAAAAGACTTGCTTACTTTTTAGTCTAGTGGTTAGTAACATGAGTTTATCTTTACTTTTAGTATTTATTTTTATGAATATCGCTAAATAAAGTTACTTTGAATGTCAGCAGCATTTCACTACAACAAAATACCGTATAACATTACACTATGAATAGCCAGAATACACTAGTCTAGCGGTTCAGTAGTTTAGTCTGCATCGGTTAATTGACGAATTTTAAAATATGCTGCAGAGCTGAGTCTTTTCGACAATCCATCAATGTGTGGGCCCCACTGCAATTTAGACTCTAGAGTTAAACCCAAACACTTGGTGGTGTCTACAAGATCCAACTTGTTTCCATTTATCAGATCGCTGGTTTTCACCTGCTTAAAACTAAGTGTAAAAAATTTAATACATTTAGTTTTTCTCGTTTAAAAGTAAATTATTAACATTGAACTGGTTCACAACTTTAGAGAGAGTGTTATTCACATCATCAGTAAATTATAGTGTCGTTAAAATGTAAATAAAAGTGAAGGGTAATCCGCAAATAGCACTACATACTATCTCTTTTTATCTTTTATTACATTAGGTAGGTCATTTATATAAACGAGAAACAAAAATGGGCCAAAAATTGAGCCCTGCAGAACCCCATAGTGACCAGAGACCCCAGGGACCTCTGTCCATTAATATCTACATTCAGTCTCTGAATCCTTTTTTTTATTGACCGGGTGGCAAATTCCTTCGAATCTCCGGCTCCTTGGGGATGTAGGAGCCAGGAGCATTCCAGTTTCCACTAAAGACAGGCGGACTTAGGCGCCCTACTCCGAGGAGGACCCGGGCCGTGTTATTTCAGCCCCCCCCGGATCTACGCCGCGCCTAGTAAAACTTTCCCCGCCTATCGGCCTAATTCTAATAATATGTTGCAGCCCGATCGCATTATTGCGACCAGGCCGCGATTCTATCGCCTTGGTCGACCAGGACTTCGCATTCAGACGCCCACGCGGGGCAGTCTTCCAGCGTGTGCAACGCAGCCGACTGGGACTCCGCGTCCCAGTCGGCTACGTAATGCTGGCATTGTGCCGTCTCCTTGCGTCCAATCCAATTCAGGTACTCACTGAAGCAGCCATGCCTAGTGAGTACCTGCGTCAGTCGGTAGGTGTCGGCAGGTCGGTAGGCACTAGTGCCTGTCGGTGAGCGTTCCGCCGCATTTCGAGCTCGTCCTAGTCTTCCCTGCTTTTACCCCGACGGATCGCGCGAGTCTGGTCATAGACCCTCGCATCATTATTTGTCAGGAAATTTACCTGTCGCCGCCTCCGACAAAAGGAGGCGGTATTCCCGTATGATCCGAATGGGCGCTACGCGCTTTATTGAGCTCTCTTTGGATCCTATAACCCAAATAAGAGATAAGAAGATCCAAAGCAGTATTACTAATTCCATAGCGATGCAATTTGCTAACCTATGGCTTGTCACAACTGGTATCAACGCCCACGCGAGTTCCAGATGTGGAAAGTCATGAGCCTTCACTGTTGGACCTTCTGCTGACCTTCGAACCGGTTGTTGAAGCCCTCCTCGATCGATCGAATGGTTACAAAATCGCCGTTGAAGCCCTCCTCGAATCATTGTATAATCCGTAGTACAGTGCCACTCAAGTGCTTGCCGCGGCCGCGAGTTGCAGGCTGCCGCCGTGTATGGCACTATAGGTCAGCGGACTGGGATGGGATGCGCTCATTCTTTGCGTCCTACCCATGGAGGCAGGTCTGTTTCTTGCCGGATGATCACACCGTCGTTGCCAATTCTGTCACTGACTGTCTACTTCAGGGAATGGAACTATTCGTTCCTTCTACATTAATTCCCATCGGTGGCAGATCCAAGCCCTGGTTCGACAGATCCTGCAAAACGGCGTCCCGCTGAAATCGGGAATGCTACCAAGCATGGGCAAATGCAGCGATGGCAGGCGATGTAAATACCAGCACGCTAAAAAAGCAATATAACTTTGCCTCCAGGTCCCTTAAAAGAGCCATTGCTAGGGCAAAATCGGAGCACATCAGCCGGATCGGTAAAAAACTGATGAGACTTCCTTCTGGAACCCGTGCATTCTGGTCTCTTGCCAATTCTGTCAAGGGGAATTTCTGTAGTAGTCAATCCTTTTCGTTACGCAGAGATGTGGCTTCACTCTGTATTCTCTATCATATATATCATGGAGAGTGCTCCGAGGAATTGTTCGGATTAATACCAGCCGCAACTTTCCGCCATCGTTCCACACGGCAAAATTTTCATCTTCATCACCTGGATAGATGGCGCTCCACTACTGTGCGCTTTTCGAGACACTTTTGCCCCGCACAACCAATCTGTGCAACGGGTTATCGTCTGCGGTATTTCCGGACCGATGCGACCTTCAA